ATTCTCTATATAATAGAGTAGTTATTACGGGAAATGGCGAAATTGTTAGTCTGTTCTACACATGTTAGAATTATGTCATTGAAAAATGGCGCATTATTTATTGTAGTATTCGCCACTGGAAAAGGACATTATCTTAGATGGAATCTATTTTAAACACTTAACTATTCACTGGCCAGAAAACAAAAAATTTAAGATTGCAGCATTTCACAAATCATTGCTGATTTGTATCATCATTCCAGGTGAAAAAATTATAATTATGTTCATATTATTCTACTTTTTATAAAATGCATTCATTTAAATATATCGTTTTCGTGGCACTTGGTATTTAATTTTCTGTGTTCTTCAGTATCAAATTGGTGAGCGCGCGGTGTTTATGCATCAGTGTTCTCAAGAAAACGCCGAGGTTGTAAGTTCGATCCTCACTTGGGGAAGGGTTTATGTTTTAGAGGCAGGAACTGAAGTAAACCACGAATAGGGATTTTTTTTAATTATTTTCATTTTCAGCAAATTGTAAAAAAAAAAATTGTAATATAAATTTAAATTTTGTTACTATTTCCTTCCTGAACAATATATATTAAACATAAGCGTGCTTTTGAAAATTTTATTTAGATACACCACAAAGAAATTCTGTTTCTTAAAGCCGTAATCGAGCACATAACTATGAAGCAATACTTCTCAAAGAATGCTGAAATTTTGAATTGATCTTCACTCAGGAAATTTTTTTCGATTCTACGAAGAAAGTCAGAAATCACGACCTTCTATCTGAGGAAATATTAAAACACATTATTAAGCAACTAACCTTTAAGTAAGAAATATATTAGAACTAAATTCTTTACGTTTGTTTTTCGTAATTTATTATTTTTTATTCCAAAAAAAAAATTGAAGTATTGATGAGGATTTCCGATCCCCAGTGGCGCAATTCGTTAGCGCAAGCAGTACTTATAGATCAGTGCTTGCGAGTCATGCCGAGGCTGTGAGTCTGATCCTCACCTGGGAGAATGATTTTACGCCTGATACGCGAGATCAGATGGGATCAATCGGTAGACTCACGTTTCTTAAGTGGAGAAAGTCTAAATCGAAATTCGCCCAAATGTAATAATCGGTTTTTCTCTGAGATCGAGACAATTTTAGAGAACATTATCAAAATTTATGTAGAATTAACTGTTTGTTTTGCAATGATGACGACAGATTTGGTCTTCTTGTGGCTACTTATAGGGTACGTGCATGCATTCATGAATCTCTGGTTAGTTGGGTATTTATTAACGGCTGAATCACTAAGACGGATCCTCAATTTTGAACTTCATCAACATGTGACAGAGCACAACACCTGAGCTAAATGGTTTCCTCCTCAACATAACACCAGTCTCCGCCTAAAACCCAACCGAGAAGACTTTGGCAATGTTAAATACAACGTGATTCGGGAGAGACTTACGGGATTCTTTAAGCACGAGATCTTGAGCATCCTCTACGATCGACGACTAACCGATTCGAGTCCTCGTGTCTTAAGCTTCAGGCCACCGCATTCTCTATATACAGAGTATGTTATTACGGGGAAATGGCAGAAATTGTTAGTTCTACACATGGAAAGGAATATTGTTGAAAATGGCGGCATTATTTATAGTAGTATTCGCCACTGGAAAGGATATTATCTTAGATGGAATCATTTTTAAACACTTAATCTACGCTCGGCCCAGAAAACAAAAATTAAACATACATTTCACAAATCGTATTAAGCGTGTATCATTCAGAGTGAAAATAAATTTATGTTCATATATTGTACTTTTATAAAATGCATTGATTTCAATATCGCTTCTATTAATCTTGGTTTTAATTTTCTGTGTTCTTCAAGTATCGAAATGTGGTGAGGCGCGGTAATGCATCAGTACTTTCGAAACGCCGAGGTTGTCAGTTCGTCTCATATTGGAAGGGCATGTTTTAGAGTGCAGACTGATAAAACCTTAATGAATAGGATTTTTTTAATTATTTTCGTTTTCATACAAATGTAAAGCAAAAATTGTAATATAAATTTAAATTTGTTACTATTTCCTTCTTGGAGTAATATATATTAAACATAAGCGTGCTTTGAAAATTTTATTTAGATACAACCACAAGAAATTCTGTTTCTAAAGCCGTAATCAGAGCAAATGTAACTTATGAATATCAATATCAAAGAATGCCGAAATTTTGAATTCGATCTTCATCGGGAAATTTTTCGATTCTACGAAGAAATCGAAATCACGAGACCTTCATTCGAAATATTAAAAACACATTATTAAGCAAATCAACCTTAAGTAGAGAATTAAAGTAATTCTTTGCGCTGTGTTTTTCGTATTTATTAATTCCAAAAAGATGGAAGTATGATGAGATTTCCGATCCCAGTGGCGCAATCTGGTTGCAGCGGCCTTAGTGATCAGTGCTTGAGTCATTGCCGAGGCTGTTGAGTTCCGATCCTCCCTGGGAGGAGCCACCTGAGATTGATATTTTTACACCGTACCCGGAGATAAAGGGAGTCTCATTCTAGAATTAGAAACCACGTTTCTCTTAGGGAGTCAAAGTCTAAATCGAAATTCCTAAATGAATAATCGGTTTCTCTGAGATCGAGGACATTTTATGAGAGAGCATTAATCAAAATAGATTTATGTAGAATCTGCGTTTGTTTGCAAATTGAGACGTGATTTTGTCTCTTTCGGTGGCTATATAGGGACTGCATTGCGAGATCTCTGTTAGTTCAGTTGTATTAACGTCAATATAAGACCCAGACGGACCTCTCTAATTTTGAATTCGCTCAACTGTGACGGAGCCCACCTGGAGGCTAAATGGTTTCCTCGGAATACATCAATCTCATCACCCAAAACTTCCACGCCATCGAGTGAAGACTTGGCAATGTTAAATATACACGTGATCTCGAAGGAAGACTACATGGAATTTTAAACACCGCCGAATCTACACCTTGATGATGAACGTTAGAGTCCTCATGCTAAGTCATAGGCCACCGCATTCTTCATATAATAAGAGCTGTGCGGGAGAATGGCAGAATGTGTTAGTTCAGTTCTCATACATGGAAGGGAATTATTGAATGGCGCGTTATATGTAGTATTCCATCACTGGAAAGACATTATCTTAGATGAATCATTTTTAAACACTTAACGGTCTACGCCTCGGCTTAGAAAACAAAAATTAAGACATCATTTCACAAATCGTATTAAGCTGATTTGTATCATTCCAGGTGAAAAAAATTATAATTATTTCTACATTATTCTATTATTATAAATCATTCATTAAATATATCGTTTCGTATTTATATTTAATTTTTGTTCTTCAGTATCGCAATGGTGAGCGCGGTACTTGCATCATACTTTCAAGAAACGCCGAGTTGTCAGTTCGATCCTCACTGGGAAGGCTTTTATGTTTAGAGTGTAGAAGCGAAGTAAAACTAATGAATGGGATTTTTTATTATTCATTTTCGCATATATTGTAAAAAAAATTGTAATATAAATTTAAATTTTGTTAATATTTTCCTTGGAACAATATATATTAAACATAAGCTTTGAAAATTTTATTAGATACAACCACAACGAAATCTCTGTTTCCTAAAAGCCGTAATCGAGCACATGTAACTTATGAAACAATGTTTCTAAAGAATGCTGAAATTTTTGAATTGATCTTCTATCGAAATTTTTTTTTTCGATTTACTTGAAGAAAGTCAGAAATCACGAGATCCTTCATTCGAGGAAATATTGGGGTGCTACATTATTACAAATCAACCTTTAAGTAAGAATATTAGAAGTAAATTTTATGCTGTTTTAGTAATTTATTATTTTTATTCCAAAAAAAAATTGGAAGTATTGAAGAGGATTTCGTATCCCCTGTGGCGCAATTGGTTATGCGCGGTACTTATAAATCTGTGTTTGCAAGTCATGTCGATGCTGTTAGTTCGATCTTCACCTGTGTAAACCCATAATTTATATCGAAGGAATAGCAGTGATCTCATTGAAACGAATACAAATCGTTTTATAATGAGCTTAAAGTGTAAATGGAATTTTTTCCAAATAAATAAACTGGTTTTCTTTGAGATTAAGACAATTTTGTTGAAAGTCAACAAATATTAAGGAGAATTAACTTGCTGTTTGTTTTTAAAATGATGATAACTTAATTTGTATCCCCTTTGTCGTCGTACTGTACCGTGCAATAATTATAGAGGTTTTGGTTGGTTTATTTTTAATATCTCAATAGAAGACACGATTTGCCCTCGTAATTTTGAACCTCTTTCTAGTGACGAGGGCAATTCTTGAGTTTACAATCTCTTTTCCAAACTTCCAATCCACGTGATCGAAAAGAATTTGTTCAACGTTAAACATAACGTTTGTCATAGTAAACTGTACGACGACCCTTAATTGCATCAAATCTGGAATGTACGACTTGACCATAACCGGGTTCGATTCCGATTGCATGAGGTTACGGCCCCATAAGGCTCAAAAGTTTTTTGGAGGAGTTATTGCTGGAAAATGCCGAGTTTGTGAGTTCGTTCTACACATTAGAAAGGAGTAATTTTTTGTGGAGCTGAATCTGAAGTAGGGTTCTTCACTTCAAAAATACATTATCCGAGTTAGAGACATTTTAACCACTAAATGGTGTACTCTCCGGCAACAATTAACTAATTTACAATAAGGCCTGTAACATTTATAATAACATTTTTTATCAAACGATGTGAAAAATTTATAGTTAACTTTTTAATATTTAATTTATTTTCTTTCATTATTTTGATCCTCAACATGACAAGCTCTTACTTTACGTAGTGTAGAAACTTATGCAAACCTCTTCAATGGGGGAGGTTATTATTTTTTTTGATTTTCAGAAATTTTTCGTTTCTTTTATATACAAATTGTAAAGAAATATTAAGTTAAATTTGAATCTTGCTTTTTTACCCCTTATCAATATTACATATTTAACATTATCTATTTCTGAAGTTTATGAATAGGTTTAAATACACTTTTCCTGCCAAGTGACGTAATTGGTTTCTCTCGTAGTACTTTAGTATATATATAAAACTCTGAATAAGTTTTCATTAAATTTTAATATTCCATGTATATTTTCTTTATTTGAAATGTTTATAACAAAATTAATTATTTTCGTATAATTCAGATTAAGTTTCATTGTTCTCCAATGGAGCAATTGGTTAACTCGCGGTGCTTTTAAAGCAGTACTTCCAAGGAATGCCTTGATTGGGAATTCTCCACCTATGTGAAGCTTTATTTTTTATAGAGCATAAAGTATAGTAAGACCTCTTTCTGAGGGAGTATATTATTCCTTTCATCATATGAAAAATGTGGGTTTTTTTATACAAAGTGTAAAGAAATAATAATTTAAATTTAGATTTTCCCAACCAATTTATTCTTGTCAACAATACTTGTTTAACATAATTGTTTTCTGA